CTTTTGATTGATTTTAGTTTAAAGTCTAATTTGTTAGATATTAGGACTTCTAAACCCACTTGTTTCTTGGGTCCATTTGATTGGAAAATCTTTTCCCAATCCTTTACTCTGAGGTACTATCTGTCTTTGAAGTTGAGTTGTTTTCCTTGCATGCATCAGAAGGATGGATTCTGTCTCTGAATCCATTCTGTTATCCTATGCCTTTTTATAGGTGAGTTAAGACCATTAATATTGAGAGATATTAATAACCATTGATTGTTGATTCTTATTTATTTTGGATTTGGTGGTGGTGGAATTGTGTGTGGATTTCCACCTCTTTTTTCTTTTGGCTGTTGTTAAGGTGGGATTATCTATTGCCTATGTTTTTCTGGTTGTAGTTAACTCCCTTGGGTTGGAGTTTTCCTTCCAGAACTTTCTATAGGGCTGGATTAGTGGATACATATTATTTAGATTTGGTTTTGTCATGGAATATCTTGTTTTCTCCATCTGTAGTGATTGAAAGTTTTGCTGGGTATAGTAGTCTGGGCTGACATCTGTGGCCTTTAATGTTGGTAGAATATCTATCCAGGACCTTCTGGCTTTCAGAGTTTTTTTGGAGAAGTCAGGTGTGATTCTGATAGATTTGACTTTATATGTTACTTGACATTTTTCCTTAGCTGCTCTTAATATTCTTTCTTTATTCTGTATGGTTGTGGTTTTGATTATTATGTGGAAAGGGGACTTTTTGTGGTCCACTCTATTTGTGTTCTGAAAGCCTCTTGTATCTTCATTGGCATGTCTTTCTTTAGGTTGGGAAAGTTTTCTTCTATGATTTTGTTGAATATATTTTCTGCACCATTGAGGTGGTTTTCTTCTCCTTCTTCTATACCTACTATTCTTAGGTTTGGTCTTTACACAGTGTTCCATATTTCCTGGATATTTTGTGTTAGGGATTTGTTGAACCTAAGATTTTCTTTGGTCAATGAATCTATTTCTCCTAGTGTATCTTCAATGCCTGAGATTCTTTCTTCCATCTCTTTTATTCTGTTGGTTATGCTTGCATCTGTAGTTCCTGATTGTTTACTCAGCTTTTCTATTTCCAGCATTCCCTCAGTTTGTTGTCTCTATCTCATTTTTCATGTCTTGAACAGTTTTAATTGTTTCCTTCATCTTTTTGGTTGTTTTTTCTAGGCTTTCCTTGCTATCTTTAAGAGATTTGTTGATTTATTGCATTTTTGGTTTACTTTTCCTTCCATTTTTTTAAGGAATTTTCTCATATTCTCTTTGAGGGCCTCTGTCATTTTCATGAAGTTGTTTTTAAGGTCATTCTCTTCTGCTGCATCTGTGTTGGGATGTTCAGGCTTTGCTTATGTAGAGTTCCTAGACTCTGGTGGTGTCATATTGGTTTTTCTGTTGTTGAATATGTTTTTATATTGTCTTCTTCCAATACCTTCTCCCAGTGGGTGCAGATGAAGTCTCTTCCTCTCCTGATGGATACAGGTCTAAGGTTTCCTTCCAGTGGTTGCAAACATGTCAAATACACTGATGTCTGTCTTTTTCTGGTGGATGGAGAAAGGGTCTAGGATACTGGCAGTGTCTGGATGGGCTGGACTTCTGGGATGAGATCCCCAGTATGCAGTCTGCAGGCCTCAGGTAGCTCTAAGCAGGGCATCCATGAATAGCATTCTTGAATTTTTATTTAGGTGCCATTTTATTTATTGTTTTAGCACTAATCCAACCACCTGCTTCTATGTCAGAACTGTTAGTACTTGATGTCTTTAATGCTATCCAGCAATGAAAAAGAACACCCCTATAGTGTCTTTGGTGAGACTTGGCTGTGTATTTATATGTATTGTAACCAATGGTTGATTATGACTACGGTGAAGATTTCAATGATGTCATCACTTTTATTTGAGTTGAATTAAAACATTCCATTTGCCAACAAAGATTTTCCATTCCTAAAATACTTTTTATGGCTTATATAATATACATACATTGTTTCTTGAATCCAGTATAATGGGAAAATAGGTAGGATAAATTAAATGATAAACATGGTGGCTCACACTTGTTAACAAGAAAGACTCTATAAAGGGCAAATGACTAAAGATGTGACTTGAAACAAAGTCAGTTGGTTACCAATTTGAATATAGATGATGAGACTCAGACAGGTAGAGTGAGGGTAGTTAGACAATGATTTTGGGGTTTTTCCATTTTTGGATAATTCAAAAGAAACTGACTTATTATTTAAATAACACAATATTTCTCTTATTTTTGTTTTTGTTTTTGTTTCTGTTCTGTTGTTTTCTTTTTCTCTTTCTTTCTCTCTCTCTCTCTCTCTTTCTTTCTTTCTTTTTTGATACAGGGTTTTCACTGCCCAGACTAGTCCTGAAACTCACTATGTAGCCAGGATGGTATTGAATTTACTGCAATTCTCTTGCCTCCATGTTCCTAAGCATTGGGAACATAGATGTAAGTCACATTGCATAGCTTTTTAAAAATTTGGTTTACTTTGTTTTATTGTTTTGAGTCTTTTTTAAAACATTTTTTTCTTTCCGTTCATCATTTTACCTATCAATCCCCCTGTTCACTCACCCTCCCATTCTCCCATGCCCCCTATCAATACCCATCCCCACCCCTCAACAGCTTTCCAAGGACAGTGAGGCCTTCTATGGGGAATCATCAAATCTGTTATATCATTTTCGGGGGGGCATAGACCCTCCTCTGTGTATCTGGGCTGAAGTAGTATCCCTTCATAGGAAATGGGCTCCCAACATCCATTTGTATGCTAGGGATAAATACTGGTTCCACTGTTAGAGATACCATATACTGTCCAAGCCTCCTAGCTGGCACTCACATTCAGAGGATTTGGTTTGGTCCAATGCTAGTTTCCCAGCTTCATGACTGGGGTCCCTGTGCTCTCACTAGGTCAGGTCAGCTGTTTCTGTGGGTTTCTCCAGCAAGGTTCTTGACTGTTTTGCTCATCCCTCCTCCCTCTCCACAACTGATTTCCAGGAGTATACCTCAGTGCTTAGCTGTGGGTGTCTGCTTCTGCTTCCATCAGCCTCTGGATGAAGGCTCTAGGATGCAAGGTAGACAGATATTCCTGCCATTTTACAGTGCTTATTTTTAAGAGTTTTATATATAATTTATAAAAGATATCCCTAAATTAATTACACTATTTGTTTTTCTCTAAGTCTGTTGTTGAATGAAAACAACCACCCCTCCCCCAACCATACTCTTACATGGCATGATTAGTCCTCATTGGAACTGTTTGGAAGGATTATCAGGTGTGTTCTTGTTGCAGAAGGCATGTCACTGAAAGTAGACTTTGAGGTTTCAAAAGCACACTCTAGGCCAGTCTCTCTGTCCCTCTCTTCATTCTGTGTATGAATCTGGATGTAAAGCTCGCAGCTACTTCTCAAGCACCGTGGCTGCCACCTAGACGACAAGCTGCCTGCCATGACAACAACAAACTAACCCTCTGGGACTGTAAGCAAGCACCTATTAAACGCTTCCTTTTATAAGAGTTGCTTTGGTCATGGTGTGTCTTCACAGCAACAGAACAGTGACTAAGACAGCCGTATAGAATAAAGGAATAATGCTGGGGGTTTACGGGAACTTGTGTGAATCATCTATTTTATCAGTTATAGGCATCTTATCTCAAGCTGTCTATGTTCACATCTGTTTCAGAAATTTCTTGGCAAATAAACTAGGCAATATTACCATAAAAAAGTATTTTTTAACTCAAAGATACATCACATGCTCACCTGTAATGATGTATATTACATTACCTTCAATTTCATTTAGATGAATTCCAAAGAGGACACTCTGTGTGATTTTACAACTTGACAATGTACTATGTATTAAATTTGGTTACAATTCAGTGAGATGCACCATCAGAAGCAAACCTTCCAGTTTATCACATTGCAGGCCATTTTCCATTTCCTTGTGTTCTTCCTCTCTTTCTTGCCTGTCACCTTCGAGTCCTCTAGTTCTGCCTGACCAACACTTTCAGATTCCACAGGGAAGGAAATACACTCTCTTTCAAAGTCTGGCCATTTTATTTACTAACATATACTCTAATTCCATCTTGGTGGCTGCAAATGATGGAAATGACTTCCTTGTATGCTTGTAAATTAAATTTATTTTAACTTTTACATGAGATATGTTAAGTTCCCCAAACCTTAACCCTATTATTGTAAGGCTTTAAATAAAAGGATACATGTATAATATATAATACAGGTGTATACACATATAAATAATTTAAATGAAATTGTATCACTTGGATTAATAGGACTCTCCCTCAAAAGCCTAGACTAACAAACTCCTCATTGCCAGGCAAGGCAAACCTCCCTTTGAGTTGTTAAGGGAGTCCAAGAGAACACTTCTGAAAAAACAGGTTATTGCCATTGCCTTTGTTTAATTCGAAGGTTAAGACACTATTGCTTTCTTAGTAGAACTTACTTTGTCCAGTTGGCATAGACTTGAAAACCAACCACTTATGAAAATCAATTTATATTTTTGCATCTGGGATTTAATTAATAAAAATCTATACTTTTAAGCAGCATCATTTTACTTAGTGTTCTTATGTAAGAAAACTATCTGAAGCAATAAGACGTTTATCTAATTCACAACTTATTAAAATTTCAAAGCCTGTATGCCTGTGCATGCTGTTCATTTAGCTGTTCAATTAATGTTCCACAACCACAAAAGCAAGCATACGGAAAACAACTCACAAAAGCAGCCATAGCTGGATATCAAATCTGTATATTGATCAGCTCAAAATTCTAGTATTCATAAATTTGGAAAGAAGTTCAACACTGTAAATTTCATTTGCAATGCACACTTTATTTTTGAGTTGATAGACTAATTACAGACGTCTCAAAGGAATCAGAGAGTAAGTGAGGAATTGGCCACCAGGAAATGAGAGGATAATTCTTCCCGGTCAAAGGAAAATAACAACGGTCACGAATCCAGGACTGGGTGACAGTGGTCAGCAAGATTGGAAATTAGTAAGATGATCAGTGGAATCCAGACCCAGTGCCGCAGCTTGGTCTGTAGCAAGGAGACTGGCAGGTTCTATAGGGAACATAGGATGGGTGGCAGAATCCAGATCCATAGCCCAGTGAAGAGAAGCCCTGGGGTCTCAAGCCGCTGGATCCACAGCTCAGTGAGAAAGAGCCTCTAGACCCGTAGCCCAGAGAGAAACAGCTGCTGGACCCGAAGCCCTGAGAGCCAGCATATGTGGTCCTACAGGGGCTGCAGAGGCTGGAGACCCTGGAGCTGTAGCAGGGCCGCTGGCAGGAGCTGTGCACCTCGTGGGAAGTCTGGCATCCGATGGGCCGGAAGCAGCTCTGACGATAGCCGCTGTGGAGAGAGGAGCCCAGAGGGCAGGTCCTGGGAGAGTAGAAGTTAGTGCTCTGAACTAGGTGCTGCTGGGGGTAGGAAGAGCCACAGGAGACATAAGGGTAGTAGTTCAGGTGATCTCCACAGGAACGGGAGGAGAAGTTTCCAGAAGAGCAGGTGTAGGACATGTTGATGGCAGAGGTAAGTTGAGCTGAGTGTACCCGAAGATTCTGAATTTGAAAATCACTCCTTTTCTGGGACCTTTATATACTCTCAGTGGTGGGTGTGGCTTCCTACACTGGCATTGTTTCAACATTTGGACACCCTCATCTGCATGTCTGGACCTCAGTAGTTTTCTTTATAATTGCAGTTAACGAACTCCTTTTATCTGACATTTAAGGGAGAACTCATTTTTTATATGTCTGAGTCAATGAACTACATTCATGTTACAAATGCTATGACTGTATTTAATTAGTGCCTCTGCCATTATGGCCAGGAAATCCCCTTTATTTTCTCTCTCTGTGACGTGTGTGTGTTCATGTTTGGGGAGGGGAACTATTCTTAGGGATGACCAAGTCATGATTCTCAGTTGGTCATCGGGGAAGAGTCAGACTCTGAACTGTCGAGAAACCATTTCAAAAGTGGCTCCAATATCAATTCCTTGGTTCACACCCTTGCAGTATAAATGTCCAGTTTCTTATTCACTGTTATCAATGGCTATTATATCCAGTCTGTGGGAGCCATATAAAAGCAAGTCAAAAGAATTGAGGAACTGTACAAAAACTAATTTTGCAAAAATGTATAGAAAAAATAATTATAGTAATAAAGCCAAAACAATATGGGACCATTATGGAACCCTGTAGAGCAAAACATCAGAAATAACATTAACTGTACAAGGGTCAATGGCACCAGGAGGGTGGTATTGTCGATTTATTTTTTATTTAACCTATATTGATCGACACTCTCCTCATAGTTCAAATTCCTCTAGAGTTTGCCCACGCAACCCATATCGCCAGACATTATTTCAAGTTGATGGATGGTTTTAGAGCTTTTCCAAGCTCAGTTTACCTGTGCTTGTTTTGTTTTGCCTTTCTTACCAGATTTTCAGATTACTGAAGAGGATATTTTTATGAGTCATAAGTATCAGGATAATATATCATAAATAAGAATGCATCTAAGCATGAATGTCAATTTAAAATAAAAAATATTTTAAGAACCCTAAACTTCTAAATTTCAAAATAACAACCAATATCACAAAATTAAGATGATGCCACCATCCTCATATAGGAGCCTATCTGGATATTTGTTACCCGAGTGAATGGTCACGGCGACTTTTCTGCAGGAAGAATGGAAATAACAGTCTTCCTTTTTAAACCGTGTAAAGGAAAACACTGAAAGTATCTGAGATGATAGGAATAGCCCCTTTCACCATCACTGTTTGTTGTTGGAATGTCTCAGCTTTCAGATTCTTAGAACTTGTTTACAGTGGGTGCTTCCAGCCTCCCTAGGACCATGTTCCTCTCAGTCAGGTGCCTCTCTCCAGGTCACTCCCCAGTCTTCAAGCTGGGTCTGTTATTTGTGTGGGAATCAGCCCTGGGGTTTAGGGACTGGGAAAGTTGCTGACACAAAAATAAAATGATTCTTCTCAGACCCAGACCAAATTACAAGGGAAATTTGGTGGGAAAGGGCTCGCTCCAGCCTCTCTGAGGTAAGCACTGCTTCCAAGTCCTCGGACAGCCACAGCAGAGACAGGATTTTACCTCTTCACACACCACAGGATTTGCATGCATCCCATCTGTACACATGCAAGGAATTTGGATTTTCCCGTTTTGGATCCCACAACAATTCAGTAAGTAAAGATGTTTTAGACAATACACTAGCCCTGCATAGCATCTTCACCAATGAACTCACCCTAGTTCTTGGGTTTGAATCGAAGACAAATGGGCTTTGTATCAGAAGGGGCTTCTACAATTCTCTCTTATTTTTTCCTTTAAAAGCCTGTGCTGGCCAGGACTCATTTGTGAATGCCTGTGGATGACTACTGCTGTTCCCAAGCGCTCTTCATTATTCCCCGGGAGAGTCACTGTAGGGTTGCTACTTACATTGACTGGGCCTCCTGGAAGGTTACAGAACACCTTCACAGTTTCAAAGCATCTAGGCAAAAGTTCCCTGGAGTTCATCAGTTTGATGGTGTGGGAAGATGTGTTTCGTATTAGTAGTGTGAGAAGCCCTCTGGACCTGCTCATGGACCGGACACTGCCTCCCATGACTCTCCTGCTACGCAGCTGTGGTTCATCCTCCTAGAGCACTGGAAAGGCCAGAAAGGACAGAGGCTTGAGTCCCAAGCTTCATTACTTGGCTCTGACTCATCTCAGACACCAGTTGCAGGTTTCTGAATTGTTTTCATTACATGCAATCCCCACATCTCCCTCCAAACAACTTTGTGGCACTGCTTCTCTCTAAGGCTCAAACTTCATTTAGATAACTATCTTGCTGTAGGTTTCTGTTGTTCCTTTTCTTGTCTTTCCCTCTTATTAATTCTCCATTAAAATGTAATAAATAACAAAACATTTTGATAGAGTCATTGAGAGTTTTCAATGTAACTATGCTTCCTAGCAATTTAGAGCAACCAGAATGATGTAATCCACCAAAGGTCACCTATGTGACCTCAGTGGTTAAAAAGGACAATGTCACAGCTTCCCTCACTGAATTCTAAGCCCAGCTGGTGAAAACATAACAGGGTTAAATGACAGATACTGAAATTATCAGTGCCTTTTCTGTAAAAGTATGTTTAATTGTAATTTGTTTAAAAGCGTCCACATGATTTGAGTGACAAGGAACTTTTTTTTAAAGTTTATCTTATAATCTTCTAAATGTTTAAATGTCTTTCTCTGGGCTCCGGGCAACTGGGGTAAAAGTCTTGGTTTGTTTATTATTTGGTTTCAAATCAGCACTTTCTAAACTCCGTTTGAAAACAAACATCCTGTCACAACTAGGAGTAAGTTTCCATCACTGGAGGCAAGGTCAGTATTGTTAAAATTAATCGAGATTAATCAAGCCAGCGCATTTGCCCATCATGACAAAACATTGTGACTACCTCCTCAGGCATGTACTTGTGTCCCTTTCATTCTTACATGCACCCTGCCCTCCTCCCTTCAACATGATGGGAGTATAAGAGCACAATCAAATCCGATATCAAATCCAGCCTACACAGTCTGATTCTTTTACATGGAGTCCCCATGGGCTTTCTATCAAACTATATACCAACACCTGGAGTTTAAAAAGAGCACATGAGATGTGGCCTTCTGACATCTTTTACAATGTGATAACCAGCTGCTGTCACCCCTGGTTGTCTGCGAGCCCAGTACAACATGGGGGAGAAGGGGAGAGAGGCTACATCATTTCTCCTAGACACTCTAAACACTCCTCATTCTTCTCCGATCCAAGATCACACCCCACTCACTGTTAGTCACTGTATTCACCAGCATCCCTATTGTTAGTAAGAGAATGAGAAGACAGAATAGGGAGCCTGTGTTTAACAGCAAGAACAAAAAAGAAATTGCAGAGAATAAAAAAACCAAATACTTCTTTCTTCATCTTCCAGGCTTAAACGAAAATGCCTGTATTGACGGATTAGGAGACACCGACCATCTGCCCACATCGCTTGTACTTACAAATTGCTTCTTAGACAATTCAGTGATTTGAAATTAGAAACTCTAACCTTAAATGATTCATAAGTCAGTAGAATCTGAGTTGGAAAAAAGTTTGGGTCAATAGTGGTAATACTACAGAATTAGCAAGGGGTCATTTAGGTTATAAAATAAACCGAAAGATGAGCAAATAAATAATAAACACAGAAGTTCAAATAAAGTGGAAAATTCCCACCTACTACATCTGCTGCACTTATGAGTCTAGAAATCACTCCTATCACTCCCTTGTGTAACAGGGTCAGCATCTAGCCTGCAACCCTCCTAAAGTAGTCCTCATAATGCAGGAATAACATTCTGTGCCTGACTCCCTACCCACACCTGCCCAAATTTGGCTATCCTAGACAATAAAACACAAAGTCGGAATTTGAAAGAGTGTATCTAATTTCTGTTTGTATCATTGTGATTCTATTGTAAAGGGCAGTTCCCTATATCTCCGTGGTACGCCCTCTGTTCCCAGGGCTGTGGAGGTCTAACAGTTATTAGCAATCTTCTTGTTCTGGGAATGGGGACGATGGATGCAGTCGCATTAACATCCATTCTGAGAAATGTAATATCTCAGAGCTTAAACAGTGGCTGTGTGTCAGTACCCAATGACACTGTGCAGATGGCCCCCTGATGACAAGTAATGACTCCTTTAGCCGTAAGTACCAGAGAGAAGAGTAGCGACTTTGACACAGTGTGACAGCTGAAAATGGGAGGCAGAATGCAAAGAGCTTTTGGGAATAAAGTCAGATGAATAGTACCCTTCCTACAGGACTGGCACACAAACAATTCCTGGTGTACCGTAAGTAGGCTTTCCATGGACTCATGATCACAGAACAAGAAGGGGAGACTTGTAGATGCCACAAGTGAAATAAAACATGATGAGTATGTCAGTATCAAGTTTTTTGCATTTCTCCATTCTTGTTGGGCAGCTGAGGTAAGGTTGACTGTATCTAGTAAACCTGTTTGTAACTTCTGTTCAGAAGCAAGAAGCTTCAGTAGGGGTCCTGGAAGAATCTTGAGCTATATTCTACTTAGTCCTAGAAGAAATGATGAAACCTCGCTTGTCTGAGGGCTTTTCCTGCCCTGGCACTCTGGGGATCTGAACATTTCCTGACAATGGGATGTTACCATATGCTCCTCTTTCAAAAGGTCATTGCAGGGAGTTTTGGGGAAATGCATGAACGCAGAGAGCAAGTCCATGTTCCCTCTGCCTGTATTTATCACAGTAAGATGGGTGAGTTTAAAGTGAGTGGTGGAGGGAGAAAGGAGAGGGGGAGAGGGAGAAGGAGAAAAAGGAGGAGGAAGATGAGAAAGAGAAGGGAGAGGAGAACAGGGGAGAGAGGGAAGAGCAGGGAAGGAGGAGGGAGGAGGGGGAGAGGGGAACAGGGGAGATAGGGAAGAGCAGGGAAGGAGGGGGAGGAGGGGGAGAGGGGAGATAGGGAAGAGCAGGGAAGGAGGGGGAGGAGGGGGAGAGGGGAACAGGGGAGATAGGGAAGAGCAGGGAAGGAGGGGGGAGG